CGAATGCAAATTGGAACTTTCAGTCCTCAGTTCTTCGCACTGAAGGTTAATAAATATAAATTGTATATAATTGTTTAAGCCCGACGCGATGTGACATGTTACATGTTAATAACTAGCCGAAGTTTACCGAAGACTGATCAAGACGTTGCAACTCTCCGTTACAAAAAGATTCTGCGTGAAATGTCCGATGAACAGATCCAACAGATCGTGATAATTGACGATGGAGAACCAACGAACTCGTGCGAGATCACGATGACAAGCGATCATTAATCATACAAACAAAGATAGCAAACCAACAACGAAAAATGGCCGATTCAAGCACTTGTAATTACATAATCGTTACTTTTTAAACGTCTCGGGAAATCGTGTGACAGCCGTCGATTAAACGACGATTATAAACAATGTAATAATCCTGATTAATTATCAGAACGCGTGTGCATACACGTAAGGTAAAGTATACACGTGAGTGAAAAATGAATTCATTTAATACCCAAAACGAGCAAGATTCGTGGAACGATCTGATGATAAATTACGGAGCACGCACGGAAGATTTGATGACGGAAATCGAGAGTCGATTTCTCACTATTGAAAATATCACTACACGTAAGAATACACCGTCCACTGTGGTTAGATTTCGATATCCTGTTGCAAGTGCAAGGATGCAACTGTATTTCCATGGATGGCGCGATTATGCAATCGAAAAATCGAATTACACAACGTTAAATGCCTTATATATATATACACACACTCGTCCCTCAATTCACGCGGCATTTTTTTACGCGGAACTTTTTATAGATATGTATACATACACATTTTCCAATAAGTTTTAAAATTGACAGTTTTATACAGTCAGTGTTACTACTTTATCACAAGAGGTTGAAACAGGATCTTTTGCCAATTTAAACGAGTGTGACATTAACACTAAACGTACCGGCATTTTACATATACCTATCTTATCATAAGGGGCCCAAATGACCCCTCACGGTACATAAGATATGCAAAGAATTCTTCTCGGTAAAAAAAATAAGCTAAGAGAAAAACAAAAAACGAGAAATTGAATAATCAGATAATATAAGAATTTACAAAAAGTCAGATTAGCGAATGTACGATTTTAAAGTAAATTTTGAAAAGGAGCCATTTTACCCCGCTTGGTATGTTTAATGTTAAAGTCCAAAAGTTACAGAAACTTTATGATACAATGGAGACGATACGAGCTTTTATTTATAAAATCTTTAAAAATGTACTGTTCTACGTCTGTAAAATGTCTAGCAAAAATTA